TTAGCCAAAGGCTTCACTGCATGGTTACCATAATTTTGTCTCATTGAGCTGCTATTAGGATTTACTAGGTGTTTGAGGTGCGTTAATTTGGAGCAAGTAATATGGTCGCTCCATTCTGTATGACCCTGAAGGATAATTGCTTTGATTGGCCAGTTGCGCTTTCAACCACTTGCTAGTGGCTATTGCAGTTTTTTCTTCACGTTCACTCCAATTGCTAGAATACGATATTTTGAGTTCTTGTACTGCATCACATTGCTAGAATAGATTATTGGTGAGGCATTGATATCCCATTTTGAAAACAAGGGCATACACATCTATGGAAATAAGTCAGTTCAGTCTCCGCCGTAAGCAGTGGGTAATGGGCATCTTTGGGCTTTTGGTTGCAGCGACTAATCTTAAGTTAGTAACTATTGGTACTGAATATGCCTTTCTTGATAGTGTAGTGTAAATCTTGGCAAGGTTTTAGTCACACTATTGTAAATCAGAAGACAGAGGTATGCTCAAGTGTTATTAGCTTCTAGACTGAGTATTTGTACCGTGGAAGGTCTGGGTACAATGTACTAGGAAATACTCCCTCCGTCCGAAAATACTTGTCGGAGAAATGGATGTATCTAGACGTATTTTAGTTATAGATACATCCAATTTTATCCATCTCTCCGACAAGTATTTAGGGACGGAGGGAGTACTAAATATCAGCCAAAAGGGGTACATTCTACCCTGGAAGCACTAAATGTCATCTAAAAAGTTGTGATTCGATATTTTTCAGGACTACTATATGTCATCAAAATAAAATAAAATTGTGAGCTCAATGTACTATGGAAATACTATAATGTCAAATAAAAAAGTAGGTCTCGCCGGGATTCGAACCCAGGTCGCCAGATTCAAAGTCTGGGGTGCTAACCACTACACTACGAAACCATTTGTTGAGTGACATCCTCAGCTGGTTATATTTCTGCCATTTGGCTTACAGACAAACTACTTTCCTTTACTTGATTGTCCCTGTTAAATTTCCTTTCGTTTTTTGGACTTGCTTCCGTTTGCCACTCGGCAGCTAAATGGAGTGATGAATGTCCAAAGAATACTTCTTTTCCATTCATTTTACCCAAAGGCTCCATTGCGTGGGTACGATAATTTTGTTTGCTATCAAGACTTACTAGGTGTTTGGTGTTTTTTCTCTTCTTCTTCATTAAGCTTCAAAAGTATATATTATGCACTTTCAGCATACATCGTATGAGAGGAAATGCATTGCGTCAACCATTGGATAACAAAATTTATCTAGCACCAACATGATTAGCCAGTAGTGGATTTCCCACAACTTGTTTATGTACCTTAAAAATAAACACATGGAAAAAACATTGTTATTACTAACGCCAACATCCTGGTGGTCGAGTCACCCTTCTTACAGGTCTCTGATATCTCAGTTCTGTGGATCAGTGGTTGTAACCATTACCCCGGTACCTCTTCTCTTCCTTCGAGCCTATCGCTGGCCGCTATCATACCATCTTACCGCTCTCTAACAATCCTAGGACCGAATCTGCGTTCAACTTGTCCGCCCCCTTTGACAATGCCCCGACGGAGTTAATGCGTCTTAGCAACGAGCTGTAGCCCAAACTTTGTTACATTACCTGTTGCCAGAATGATGATATGAATAGAACGTAGAGAGAACATTTAACTTTATCCTTACAGTTTGGAACAAGTAACGTGGTTGGTCCATTCAGTATGGCCTTCAAGGTTAATTCTTTGATTGCCCAGCTGGGCTTTCAACCGCTCGCTAGTGGTCATTGCAGTTCCTTCTTCATGTTCACGCACATTGCTCAAATACAAGGTTTTGAGTTCTTTAATTTGTCTGCATCACTTTGCTAGAATAGAATATTAATGAGACGTTGATGTCCCATTTTAAGAACAAGGGTATAAGCATCTATTGAAATAAGTAGTTTTGTTCAGTTTCCACCTTAGGCTGCGTTCGGTTGATGGAGGTTTGAAGGGGGTTTGGCAGGGATTGAAGGGGATTAAGTCTCATACAAGTTAAATTCCTCCGAAATCCCCTCCAATCCCCTTGGGGCAGGGCGTAACCGAACAAAGCCTAAAGTGGTGGGGAATGGGTACATTTGGCTGAGTTAGTAACTACATGTACTAAATGTGCCTTTCTGGATAGTATACTGTAAATTTTGGTGAGGTTATAGGCACAGCAATGTAAAGCAGAAGACAGTGGTAAGTTTCAAGTCTTATTAGCCTCTAGACTGTGATGGAAGGTCTGGGTACATTGTACCAGGGAAATACTAAATGTCAGCAAAAATAGGAGTACATTCTACCCTGGAAGCACTAAATGTCATCTACAAAATTGGGGGTCGATATTTTCCTGACTAAATGTCATCTTTAAAAAAAAAGTGAGCACATTTCACCATGGAGATACTAAAATATCAGCTAAAAAAACAGGTCTCGCCGGGATTCGAACCCAGGTCGCCAGATTCAAAGTCTGGAGTGCTAACCACTACACTACGAAACCATTTGTTGAGTGTGATCCACTGATGGTTATATTTCTGTCATTTGGCTTACAGACAAAATATTTTTCTTTATTCCATTGTTCCTTCTAAATTTCCTTACGTTTGTTTTGGACTTGCTTCAGTTTGCCACTTGGCAGCTAAATGGAGCAAAGTATATCTGACAAATACCTTTTCTTTTGAGTTGATTTTAGCCAAAGGCTCCATTGTGTGGGTATGATAATTTTGTCTCATTGGGCTGCTATTACGATTTACTACGTGTTTTGAGTGTTTGTTTTGTGTTTTTCTCTTCTTCATTAAGCTTCAAGAATATTTATGCACTTAACAACACACATCATATGAGAGGAGATGCATTGGGACAACCATTGGATAATTTCTTTTATCTAGCTTCAACTTGCTTAGCTAGTAGTGTATTTCAACCACTTGTTCTATGACATCTTAAAAAATGAGCACATGGCAAAGACATTCTTACTTATTAGCACCACCTCGTCGTCGCAGGCCCGCCCTTCTTACACGTTTCCAATGTCTCACTTCTTTTGATCAGTAGTTGTAACCGTGCCTCCATACGAAGACAACGTAGATAAGACACTTCACTTTATCCCTACAATTTGGAACAAGTATTAAAGTCGGTCCATTAAGTATGATCTTCAAGGTTAATTGTTTTGATTACCCAGCTGGGCTTTCAACCGCTCGCTAGTGGCCATTGCAGCTCTTTCTTCATGTTGACTCACATTGCTAGAACACAATTTATCCTTTCTGGTATGGGTCTGCATCACACTGCTAGAATAAAATATTAATGAGGCATTAATGTCCCGTTTTAAGAACAAGGGTATAAGCATCTATGGAAATATGTAGTTCAGTCTTCAACATAAGCAGTGAGGAAGGGATACATTTGGTTGCAGCGACTAATCTGAAGTTAGTATCTATAGGTACTGAATGTGCCTTTTTTGATAGTGTACAGTAAATTTTGGTAAGGTTATAGTCACACCAATGTAAATTACTAGAGTTATGTTCAAGTGTTATCAGCCTCTAGACTTAGTATTTGTACCATGGAAGGTCTGGGTACACTGGGAAATACTGAATGTCAGCAGAAATAGGAGTACATTGTACCCTGGAAACACTAGATGTCAACTAAAAATTTGAGTTGATATTTCATCCTATACTACATGGCAGCTAAAAATATGTGAGTACACTGTACCATGGAAATACTATATTGTTAGCTAAAAAAGTAGGTCTCGCCGGGATTCGAACCCAGGTCGCCAGATTCAAAGTCTGGAGTGCTAACCACTACACTACGAAACCATTTGTTAAGTTGATCCAGTGATGATTATTATATTTCTGTCATTTGGCTTACAGACAAAATATTTTCCTTGTCGACCCCCTTCGACAATGTCATGACAGAGGTAATACCGTCTTAGCGACAAAGTTGTAGCCAAACTTTACTGTAGTAAAGCTGTTGCTTGAATGATGGTACAAAGAGAATGTAGATAAGACAGTTCACTTTATCCTTGCAATTTGGAACAAGTAATATGGTCGGTCCATTCATATGACCTTGAAGGTTAATTGTTTTGATTTCCCAGCTGGGCTTCCAACCACTCGCTAGTGGCCATTGCAGTTCCTTCTTCATGTTCATGCACATTGCTAGAATACAAGATTAGAGTTCTTTAACATGTCTGCATCACATTGCCAGAATGGAATATTAATGAGGCATTGATATCCCATTTTAGAAACAAGGGTACATCTATCGAACTAACTAGTTCAGTTGAGTCTCCACTGTAAGCAGTGTGGAAAGGGTACATTTGGTTGCAGCGAATGTGCCTTTTTTGATAGTGTGTAAATTTGGTAAGGTTATAGTCACACCAAGGTAGATCAGAGGACAGCGGTATGTTCAAGTTTACCGTGGAAGGTTATTAGCCTCTAGACTGAGTGGTTGTACCATGGAAGGTTATTACCCTCTAGACTGTGAGTAGTAGTACCATGGAAGATTTGGGAAACGCTAAATCTCAGCAAAGATAGGAGTACATTATACCCTGGAAATACTAAATGCCAGTTAAAAATTTGTGAGTCGATATTTTATCCAATGCTGTCAGCCCAAAAAAGAAGTGAATAGATTGTACCATGGAAATACCAATATGTCAAATAAAAAAGTAGGTCTCGCCGGGATTCGAACCCAGGTCGCCAGATTCAAAGTCTGGAGTGCTAACCACTACACTACGAAACCATTTGTTGAGCGTGGTCCGTTGATGGTTATATTTATGTCATTTATCGTACAGACATAATATTTTCCTTGATGGTTCCTGTTAAATTTCCTTCCGCTTGTCAATTGTACTGGCCTGCATCGTGTTGCTTGAATATGAATACAATATTAATGAGGCATTAATATCCCTGTTTAAGAACAAGGGCATAGCCATCTATCATAATAACTACTAGTTCAGTTCAGTCTCCACCGTAAGCAGGCAGACTGATTGACAAACTTTATGACTGCAGATGCACTCCATATTCTTGCACGTAAGGAAACTGAGGAGAATGGCTGGATTCCGCGATTTCAACAGAAAACTGGTGAAACTGGAATGGGTACTCAACTGGACTACCTTTGTGACAGCAAGGGTGATCTGCCACATATTGATCACATACAGACTGATCACCGACGCACACAAGTTTGATAAAGGCATTGAGCTGCCACTAGCTCTTTCTGGTATGGCGGGAATGAATTTGCTCAATGTATCTTTAGGGCTTGATCTATTTAAAGTGTTCGCGCGAGAGAGAAATCAGCAGACGCATCAGGACTGAATGTTCTTGGCAGTGTACTGTAAATTTTTGTAAGGTTATAGTCACACCAATGTAAATCAGAAGACAGAGGTATGTTCTAAGTGGTGGTAGCCTCTAGACTGTAGTGACAACCCATATATGTAATCTGTTATGTATGACGAATTTGTATTAAGATGTCTTGCGGAAAGATTCTCTGGCTACGCCAGCATTAGTGGAATTATATCATGACTTACATTGACAACCCGACCTGGGTCCAGCATTTGCACAGATTTTTTAAAGTAGGAAGCAAGAAAGTGTTTGTATTGTTTAGAACTTCAGCTAATGTACTACAGAGATGCATAGGCGACTTTTTTTGCAAGCCTTAATTTCTTTTGCCCGAACTGTTTTTATTTAATTCATTGTGAGTGTTATTTTGTGTATGAATTTTTTATACATATTCTTCTTTTTTTGCCGGGATTTGATACATATTCTTCTACACCTTTCTTTCACTTGTGAGTGTTTGTAGCACGGAAGGTATGTGCAAAGTATCATGGAAAAACTAAATGTCAGTGAAAAAAGCATGATTACATTGTACCATGTAGATACCAATGTCAGTATAATAAAAGAAAAAGAATCTAAGTATATTGTAAAATGAAAATACATCTAGCCGTCAAAAAAAATGAAAATACATCTAAGCTAAAAAAAACCTTATTACACTGTACGATTTAAAAAAAAAGTAGGTCTCGCCGGGATTCGAACCCAGGTCGCCAGATTCAAAGTCTGGAGTGCTAACCACTACACTACGAAACCATTTGTTGGGTGATGTCACTGGTAACTATATTTGGTTATAAATGTTATTAGACGAAAAAAAAAGAACAGGTCTCGCCGGGATTCGAACCCAGGTCGCCAGATTCAAAGTCTGGAGTGCTAACCACTACACTACGAAACCAATTGATGACCAATGACCAGTGGTAATCATATTTTTCCGTTAATCTTAGACAGACAAAACACTTTCCTTTACGTTTCGTTAGATTTCTTGCTGGTTTTTCTGGACTTGCTTCCGTTTGCCACTTGCCAGCTTATATAGAGCAGGGAATATCGGACGATTATAGCCTCCCTTTGGTTCCCATATCATTTTACCGAAAGACTCCATTGCCATCACCTACCATTCTCCACTCTCCGGCTATCCTAGGACCAAAGCGGCGTTCAAATTGTAGATCCCCTCCGATAATGTCAAGACGAAGGTTTTTTTGTTGTTGAAAATCACGGAGGAGGAGTCCCTCGACCTGAATATATTACTCGAAGTGACCACCAGGAGATTGATCCAGTTTATAAGGAAAACCGGATTGAAAACCTAAACAAGTTGACCCGTTTATAGGAAAACCGGGCCGAAAACCGTATACGTAACAAGGTAGAGAAGGAAAAGAACAAGACACTCAACATAAGGCATGACATAGCCACCAGACTAAGAGGACCATCACCACGAAAGACACAATTAGTTGTGGGGTATCGTCGAGGGATCACAATACCAATAGTTGCGAGCAACCTAACGCACCGCACCGGCGTGCATACCAAAGTACCAAACCCATGGCGCAACACAGGAGCACCGCAATCAACGAGCGAGTGGCAAACACGAACCTTAACTGGGAGCTCCGCCAATGAATTCGGGATGATTAGCAATGGCAAGGCGGAGGTTAAATGCCAGTAGTATCGTCTTCGTCACTAATCTGTGGCTGAGGTTGTGCCACAATGGGAGAATGTCACCGCTATGGCGAAGAGGCGGAGTAGACGAGTTCGTCAGACCTCACGCGAATCTACATGAAGATTCGGAGGCCGGAAATTCAGTTTGCTAATTTCCACACAAAGAATTTACTAGTTGAGCGACGGATGGCACTGCCGGTACCAGAAACGACAGCCATGCCACTCACAGTTCAGTTCGCTAGGCTCCAACGTGGTACGCTACAAATTAGTACAACATACCAGTAGTCTCACACGCGCGTGGCACCGCTGCAGCCTGACCCTGCAGCACTTTTCAGTGAGGCGATCGCACAAACCGTATCAGCTCCGAGAGGGCCGTCCAGGTGTGCATCGCCTCGGCCATTGGTCGGATTCGGGGAAACGTGGTCTCTCCGCTGCCCTTCGCGCACCCTATCCTCGCCCCGCCGCTCGCCAATCGCGCGCCCCCGCAGCGCCACACGTACGCCCGGGAAGACCCCCACCCCCGTGCCGTGCGATCTCATAAAATGTGGCCGCGCGGCAGCAGAGCAAAGTCCCCCAAGATATAGCTCCCCACAGCCACAGACGCGCGAAGCCATATCCCGGGACTCACGAGTACGTGCGTGAGCGAGTGAGCGTCTAGGCGGCTATGGCACAGTCGATGCTCATGTCCGGCGTCAACGGCGTGGCCTCCGGCAGGAGCCTGCTGCAGGCGGCCCGGCCGTCGACGGCGTCCACGCCCTTCTCGCGGCTCGCGCTCTCCTCCTCGTCGGCGGCGTACTACAAGCACATGCCGTCCCTCTCCGTCCGGACCATGGCTCTGTTCGGCAAGTCCAAGACCAAGGCCGCGCCGGCCAAGAAGGTTCGAGCCTACCTAGCTTACCTGAAAAGTATATTGTTCGCCAATGCAGCTGGTCTGCTTCTGCTTGTTTATCTGACGCTGCGTGACCTTGTGTTTTGATTATATAGGTCGCTGCGCCCAAGCCCAAGACGGAGGACGGCATCTTCGGCACGTCCGGCGGGATCGGTTTCACCAAGGAGAACGAGCTCTTCGTCGGCCGTGTTGCCATGATTGGCTTCGCCGTGAGTACTCCTGCACCGTAATTTGACCATGCATGGACGTCTTTTATGTGCGGACCGTTCCAAGCGTAGATACACAAACAGACACTAGACCGTTCCAACTTCCAAGGGTACGTAGAGTAGCTGCTGAACAAACTAAGTCACCAGCAATTGGGTTTGCCGCAGGACGCAAGGCATGTACATATGTCCCTGTGGTAAGTTCAAACTGAAACTGGCCGAGGGGGGAAATCTTACCTACATACTATGAAATGGTGGTAAAAGCTTATTAATTTTCTTAAAAAGATCAGAAAATATCATTTTCATTAATAGGAAGAAAAGAAAGGAAAAAGCTTAAGTTAGTTTTTCTAGGATAGTGCCTATAAGGGCGCAACTACTAGTAATAAATACTCCCTCCATCGAAAAAAGTTTTCCCTTGAATAGCTGTAGTATGTAGCACCAAGTTAGTGCTAGATAATTTTATTTTTAAAAAGTTAATGCTAGATACATCCATTTGAGGGACAAGCTTGGGACAAGTTTTTTCGGACAGAGGGAGTAAATATATGCATTTACTTATAAATAGTGTAGAATCTAAACTACTGGTATATTTCAAATCAAAAGTGTTAAATAGTTCAAAAAATGTAATACATAACTTATAATGTATTTTGTGAATTATTTAACTTGTTTCTAAAATTCTCAGATTTTATACTCAATTTTCACAAAACAAAATAGTACCGCAAATTTAGTCCAAAGATTATACTACTCTATAGAATGAGTTGGGGCTGAGAAGAGGTTGGTGTTGATGAAAAGGGTTTAGAATAGGACTCATACTCAAGAGAAGATCTCATTAAACTTTAGAATAGTTAATACTTCCTCCGCTCATTTTTGTAAGTCATTTCAGATAACTCAAAATAGGTGGTTTTGCACATTGTTTGAAATGTCTTCAAGGTCTTATAAAAACTATTAATTGTACAACATTCGTCCGGAATTAACTATCGCTGAAATTAGTGTAGTATTTTGCCATGCCGCATCGAAATTATGTTTAGACGGCACGGCAGTGTACATTGCACTACTTGTGAAACAAAAACAAAGTTTTCTTACAAAGGGAGCGGTCAAGATGAACTTAAGAGCGCCGTTCTTTTAATTAGCCTGATGATAACTGTTTTACCTGTTGATATCTCTACAGGCATCGATCTTGGGAGAGGCCATCACCGGCAAGGGCATACTGTCCCAGCTGAACCTTGAGACCGGCATCCCGATCTACGAGGCGGAGCCCCTCCTCCTCTTCTTCATCCTCTTCACCCTCCTCGGCGCCATCGGCGCTCTCGGAGACCGTGGCAGGTTCGTCGACGAGCAGCCCACCACTGGCCTCGACAAGGCCGTCATCGCCCCCGGCAAAGGCTTCCGCTCCGCCCTCGGCCTCAGCGAGGGAGGTACGTAGCACACACATACATTTCCCATCGGATCATGCTCGTCGCCGGCCTGTCTGATCGTCTCGTCGGACGTAACGATGCAGGGCCGCTGTTCGGGTTCACCAAGTCGAACGAGCTGTTCGTGGGGCGGCTGGCGCAGCTGGGGATCGCCTTCTCCATCATCGGGGAGATCATCACGGGCAAGGGCGCGCTCGCGCAGCTCAACATCGAGACCGGGGTGCCCATCAGCGAGATCGAGCCGCTCGTGCTCTTCAACGTCGTCTTCTTCTTCATCGCCGCCATCAACCCCGGCACCGGCAAGTTCATCAGCGGCGAGGAGGACGACTAGATCGGCACCGGCACGAGCGAATGCTTTTTGGCCATTAATTGTACGTCCGTTCGTGCTTTGCTTGTTTGTTGTGTACGTGAGACCTTGGGGTGTACTTAGGTGTAAGAAGAAGTTGGTCGTTGCCTTATGAAAAACAAGAGCTAGCAGCTAATTTGCCATGCATGCCGACGGTTGCAGATCTATCGTCTCGGATTCTAGATCATCCCCTTCTCCCTTAATGAAGGGTACAATATAATTCTTGAAACGAAAAACAAAAGGCACGACTATATGCAAGTCGTCTTGAAAAAAAAACATGCAAGTCGATTTTCTCCAGCCGCTCGTTTGAAATCCAACGGCCGGGCATATTTCAAAAAAATTCTACGATTACACAAGATCTATCTATGTGATGCATAGCAACGAGAGGGGAGATTGTGTGCACGTACCCTCGTAGACCGAAAGCGGAAACTTTTAGTAACGCGGTTGATGTAGTCGAACGTCTTCACGATCCAACCGATTCAAGCATAGAACGTACAGTACCTCCGCGTTCAGCACACGTTCAACTCGATGACGTCTCTCGTGCTCTTGATTCAGTTGAGGACGAGGATGAGTTCTGTCAGCACGACGGCGTGGTGACGGTGATGATGATGTTACCGGCGCAGGGCTTCGCCTAAGCACTACGATGGTATGATCGAGGTGTGTAACTGTGGAGGAGGGCACCGCACACGGTTAAGAGAAACTTGTGTGTCCTAGGGTGCCCCTGCCCCCGTATATAAAGTAGGGAGGGGGAGGCTGGCCGGCCTATGTTAGGCGTGCCGGGAGAGGGGAATCCTACTAGGACTCCAAGTCCTAGTATGTTTCCACCTAAAGGAGAAGGAGGAATGAAGGGAGAGGGGGGCCGCACCGCCAACCCCTTGTCCAATTCGGACTGGGCTTGAGCGCGCGGGGGGGGGGGGCACCTCCTGGCCGCCGCCTCTCCTTCCCACTAAGGCCCACTAAGGCCCATCAACTCCCCGGAGGGTTCGGGTAACCTCCCGATACTCCAAAAAATACCCGAACTTTTTCGGAACCATTCTGATATCTGAATATAGCCTTCCAATATATCAATCTTTATGTATCGATCATTTCGAGACTCCTCGTCATGTCCGTGATCTCATCCGGGACAGCGAACAAACTTCGGTCATCAAAAACACATAACTCATAACACATATTGTCATCGAACGTTAAGCGTGCGGACCCTACGGGTTTGAGAACTATGTAGACATGACCGAGACATATCTCCGATTTTTTAGCGGAACCTGGATGCTCACATTGGCTCCTACATATTCTATGAAGATCTTTATTGGTCAAACCGCATGACAACATATGTTGTTCCCTTTGTCATCGGTATGTTACTTGCCTGAGATTTGATCGTCGGTATCATCATAGCTAGTTCAATCTCGTTACCGGCAAGTCTCTTTACTTGTTCCTTAATTCTTCATCCCGCAACTAACTCATTACTCACATTGCTTGCAAGGCTTATAGTGATGAGCATTACCGAGAGGGCCCAGAGATACCTCTCCGATACACGGAGTAACAAAATCCTATTCTCGATCTATGCCAACCCAACAAACACCTTCGGAGACACCTGTAGAGCATCTTTATAATCACCCAGTTATGTTGTGACATTTGATAGCACACAAGGTGTTCCTCCGGTATTCGGGAGTTGCATAATCTCATAGTCAGAAGAACTTGTATAAGTCATGAAGAAAGCAATAGCAATAAACTTAACGATCATTATGCTAAGCTAACGGATGGGTCATGTCCATCACATCATTCTCTAATGATGTGATCCCGTTCATCAAATGACAACACATGTCTATGGTTAGAAAATATAACCATCTTTGATTAACGAGCTAGTCAAGTAGAGGCATACTAAGGACTATATGTTTTGTCTATGTATTCACACATGTACTAAGTTTCCGGTTAATACAATTCTAGCATGAATAATAAACATTTGTCATGATATAAGGAAATATAAATAACAACTTTATTATTGCCTCTAGGGCATATTTTCTTCAGTCTTCCACTTGCAATAGAGTCAATAATCTAGATTACATGGTAATAATTCTAACACCCATGGAGTCTTCGTGCTGATCATGTTTTGCTCGTGGAAGAGGCTTAGTCAACGGGTCTGCAACATTCAGATCCGTATGTACTTCGCAAATCTCCATGTCTCCCTCCGCGACTTGATGCCAGATGGAGTTGAAGCGTCTCTTGATGTGTTTGGTTCTCTTGCGAAATCTGGATTCCTTCGCCAAAGCGATTGCTCCAGTATTGTCACAAAAGATTTTCATTGGACCCGATGCACTAGGTATTACACCTAGATCAGATATGAACTCCTTCATCCAGACTCCTTCATTTGCTGCTTCCGAATCAACTATGTACTCCGCTTCACACGTAGATCCCGCCACGACGCTCTGCTTGGAACTGCACCAACTGACAACCCCACCATTCAGTATAAATACGTATCCGGATTGTGACTTAGAGTCATCCGGATCAGTGTCAAAGCTTGCATCAGTGTAACCATTTACAACAAGCTCTTTTTCACCTCCATAAATGAGAAACATATCCTTAGTCCTTTTTAGGTATTTCAGGATGTTCTTGACCGCTGCACAGTGATCCACTCCTGGATTACTTTGGTACCTCCCTGCTATACTTATAGGAAGGCACACATCAGGTCTGGTACACAACATTGCATACATGATAAAGCCTATGGCTGAAGCATAGGGAACTGTTTTCATCTTATCTCTATCTTCTGCATTGGTCGGGCATTGAGTCTAACTCAATTTCACACCTTGTAACACAGGCAAGAACCCTTTTTGACTGATCCATTTTGAACTTCTTCAAAATCTTATCAAGGTATATGCTTCGTGAAAGTCCAATTAAGTGTCTTGATCTATCTCTATAGATCTTGATGCCCAATATGTAAGCAGCTTCACCGAGGTCTTTCATTGAAAAATTCTTATTCAAGTATCCTTTTATGCTATCCAGAAATTCAGTATCGTTTCCAATCAACAATATATCGTCCACATATAATATTAGAAGTGCTACAAAGCTCCCACTCACTTTCTTGTAAATACAAGCTTCTCCAAAAGTCTGTATAAAACCATATGCTTTGATCACACTATCAAAGCGTATATTCCAACTACGAGAGGCTTGCACCAGTCCATAAATGGATCGATGGAGCTTCCACACTTTGTTAGCACCCTTTGGATCGACAAAACCTTCTGGTTGTATCATATACAATTCTTCTTTAAGAAATCCAATAAGGAATGCAGTTTTAACATCCATTTGCCAAATTTCATAATCATAAAATGCGACAATTGCTAACATGATTCGGACAGACTTAAGCATCGCTACGGGTGAGAAAGTCTTATCATAGTCAACTCCTTGAACTTGTCAAAAACCTTTCGCAACAAGTCGAGCTTTGTAGACAGTAACATTACTGTCAGCGTCAGTCTTCTTCTTGAAGATCCATTTATTTTCTATGGCTTGCCGATCATCGGACAAGTCCACACTTTGTTCTCATACATGGATCCCATCTCAGATTTCATGGCCTCAAGCCATTTCGCGGAATTTGGGCTCATCATCACTTCCTCATAGTTCGTAGGTTCATCATGGTCTAGTAACATGACATCCAGAATAGGATTACCGTACCACTCTGGTGTGGATCGTACTCTGGATGACCTATGAGGTTCGATAGTAACTTGATCTGAAGTTTCATGATCATCATCATTAGCTTCTTCACTAATTGGTGTAGGAATCACTGGAACTGATTTCTGTGATGAACTACTTTCCAATTCAGTAAAAGGTACAATTACCTCATCAAGTTCTACTTTCCTCCCACTCACTTCTTTCGAGAGAAACTCCTTCTCTAGAAAGGATCCATTTTTAGCAATGAATATCTTGCCTTCGGATCTGTGATAGAAGCTGTACCGAACAGTTTCCTTTGGGTATCCTATGTGTTGGGGAACGTAGCAGAAATTCAAAATTTTCTACGCATCACCAAGATCAATCTATGGAGATTCTAGCAACAAGAGAGAGGGGAGTATATCTTCATACCCTTGAAGATCGCGATGCAGAAGCGTTACAAGAACGTGGTTGGAGGAGTCGTACACACAGAGATTCAGATCGCGGTCAATTCTGATCTAAGCACCGAACAACGGCGCCTCCGCGTTCAACACACGTGCAGCCCGGTGACGTCTCCGGTGCCTTGATCCAGCAAGGAGGAGGGAGAGGTTGGTGAAGACAACTATAGCAGCAGCACGACAGCGTGGTGGTGGTGGAGCAGCATGGTTTCCAGCAGGGCTTCGCCAAGCACTGCAAGGAACGAGGATGTGGAGAGGTAGGGCTGCACCGAGCAGTCGAGAGAGAGAGAGACTCGTGTCTTTGGCAGCCCCAAAACCCCCACTATATATAGGAGGAGGGGAGGAGGGTGTGCCTCCTCTAGGGTTCCCATCCCTAGGGGGGCGGCAGCCCTAGATGGGATGGAGGGGGACGGCCAAGAGGGGGAGAGAGGGGGCGCGCCCTAGGGTGGGCCTTAGGCCCATCTGCGCCTAGGGTTTCCCCTTCTCCTCTTTGCTGCGCCTTGGGCCTTGGTGGGAGGCGCACTAGCCGACTTAGGGGTTGGTCCCTTCCCACTCTTGGCCCATGCAAGCCTCCGGGGCTGGTGGCCCCTCCCGGTGGACCCCCAGAACCCTTTCAGTGGTCCGAGTACATTACCGGTGACGCCCGAAATACTTCTGGTAGCCAAAACCTCACTTCCTATATATAAATGTTTACCTCCAGACCATTCCGGAACTCCTCGTGATGTCTGGGATCTCATCCGGGACTCCGAACAATATTCGGTAACCACATACAAACTTCCCTTATAACCCTAGCGTCATTGAACCTTAAGTGTGTAGACCCTACGGGTTCGGGAATCATGCAGACATGACCAAGACAACTCTCCGGCCAATAACCAACAACGGGATCTGGATACC